CCTGGGAGTCTCTGCAACTTCTATTCGCATCACTCACCCCCAGCAGTTTCAATTTTCAGTCTCAGGCTCGCTAAGGTGACAATTATGGGCGCTATGGCCAGTTGATCCTAGCAGGGAATGCTGCTGACTACACAGCATCAATCAACAGACCCATGAGCTCTTCTCAACACTTGACAGCTTGGCGACACGTGATGAGACACTTCCAGATTCATCGCAATCTCAGGGGGTTCGCAATCCTCGGATACGAGGTCTCGATAGGGAGTAGCCTCAACGATAGTCCGCTCCTTCGTCTCTTCATCGACACTCGCTGGAAGTCATAACCACAAGTCTCGTACCAGCGAGTTGTGAAGGACTTCCCCAGGAACATTGCGTCCCCGCAGCATTCAAGAGGATCTGAGTGACCGGCAACGCCGGCCGAAGAGTCATGGAGACCGCTTTCAAGCGCAAACCCCTGCCGGGCCCTCCGCCAGGTCCGCCGCCGCCTCCGGATTTCGACCCCTTTCCCCAACGTCAACGCCCTCTCCGCGCCGCTCGGTCGACGCCAAACATTCGGCAGTCTGTAGCGATATCAATCTACGATCCACCGCCAGCGTATGAGGAGTTCCCTGGAGTCGACGCTAACGGTCGCCTGGCTTTCGCCGCTCCTGTATCGGACTTCGGACCTGGGAGGATTCCATCGCCAGGTCCTGCAACCCCAGCACCACACTTTTCTCCCAGTGTTTCTCCCGCTGCTGCTCACAAAAATTACCTACCTTATCGACCATCACCATCGCCATCACCGTCACTTGTAGCAGGTGGTAAGGACTCGCCCGCGCCGTCCATTCCAGGGCCATCCTTTCCTGGCCCTTCAACGGCCCAAACGTTTCCGGTGGCAGGTCATCGTCCTTCTCCATCGCCCACACCGTCTAGCCCTGGATCTTTCGTCCCTGGTCCTCCCACAACAGCAGAGACGTTTCCACTAGCACATCGACCCCCTTTATCACCCAATTACACCCCATCAGAAACCGCATCAACAGAGTCTCAATTGAAAGAAAAGACTTTCTGGCAAACCGCCCTAGACGAGACAAAGTATTTCGCGGGCGGGCTGATAAGTCATCCGTTCGAGTACACCAAGCACTACTCCATCCTCCGCCACTCGGGCGCGCTCGTATGGTACCGCGGCCCCTCAACCTCCATCACCATCACAATCTTCTCCGATGCTCCTCTGCCAGCAACCCGGACAGTATGGCTGCAGCAGAAGGGCTTCTCAGGCAACATGGGCATGAATCTCAAGTCTCTGGTTGGCGCAAACACATCATGGCTCGACGTGACGCCTTCTATGCAGGGGACACCCGCGGCCATGACCGAGGGCGATGAGAGGGGTTGTCAGCGCGACTTGAAGAAGTTTCTCAAAAAGGCACCCAAGAATCTGGCAAAGCATATGCCCAGAGAGACACACGTCGTGCGCATACCCGCGGCCGCCGATGATGGGTACTTCCGGCTCGTGCTATGCACTGGAGGCGGTGGTGACGGGGGCAAGAGGAAGGTTCTTTGCCCAAGCCCCGTCTTCCGTGTTGCGAGTACGTCTACGGATATGAGCGTTACACGTGGCGCGAGCTTTGCCAGCATGCCTCTGGAGCTTGGGATCAAGGCCGGGTCTGTCGTAGCCACGACTGTCGTCAATAGGTATATCGGACCAGCTGCCGCTGTGGTACAGTCTAGAACGAAGAAGATCTCGCAAGCAAAATTTGTGACGAAGCACGCCGCTCATATCGCTTACGCAAAGTCCGGCATAGAAAAGTCCGGCATCAAGACGCATGTTACGGCATACGAGGAACAGTATGCCTCCACAAGGAGTGGGGGATACGACGCATGGCAGTCCGGTGAAGCTGGGTTCCAAGAAGCCCCTCCCGAAGTAATTGGTCCCGACTCCGGTCCTACCGGTCCATTTCCAATCAAGTTCGACGGCAAAATTGTCCGCGGTACAGGAAGAGGAGGGATGGAACTGGGCATCCCGACAGCGAACCTCGAGGGTATACCAGAAGACGTGAGGATGCGAATGCGTGGCGTTTACTTCGGCTGGGCGAGGGTCGTTCCCCGATCCGGACTGGAAGCGATATCGATAGACTGGCACGAGAGCATCATCACCGTCGGCCCCGCACCGTATGCCACACCACGTGTGGCCGCTAAGAACGTCGCCACGGTTCACCTGATCCACGAGTTTGGCGGCGCTCTGTTCCTCGACACAAAGCTCAAGGTACTCGTCATGGGCCAGTTGCGGATGGCTGCGCCTCCCGTTGCTGGCTCTGAAGCCGCGCTTGAGGCCAACGGGGCGGATGTATTGCTCACTGTGGCTAGTCTAAGCCGTGACAGCTGGTGTCCTATCGAGACGCGGGAGAGGATGAGAACGATGCGGAGCGAGATGAGCTTGGCTGATCGATATGTTGAGACGAGGGACAGAGTTCAGAAACAGGTAGACCGTATGCCGGTTCACTTGGCTGGGGTGAGAACGGAGGGCGCTGCCTTGAGAGACCGGGCATACGGGAATGGAGGAATTTGGATCCCGAGATGATCCAGATGCTCATTTAGCGATGGACGGGACACGTAATGTTCACCTGTCGACACCGGGCGTGTAGACTCCTTGTTACCTATTAGACATTTAATATTTTTCATACACTTAGGCAGGCAGGTACCGAACGTACCTTCCTCACGTGTACCTGTATACTGATCTCGCCTACACGTATACACCACCCACAATACCCATATAGGTCCCAACAATTCCATTCCGATCACCAGTCAGTAGGCGCCCCTCTAGGTCGGGGGGTCAGGTCAAACTGGCTGGGTGGTGGAAGGGTTACAGGTCCGACATTCAACACGCCCATAGCCTACTCGACGACAGGCTCCGAGTTCGATTCCCAGCGTGAGCGCCAAGAGATGTAGCCACACCGGTGGTGAACTCTTTTTTTAGATCTTCTCGAATTCTTAATGCCTCAAAGGAAAAGAATCTGCTCTTCTTAACGGGCTGATTTGGCAATTAAATTAAATTACACTCTAAAAAACTCCAAAACATCTACTAGATAGTCCATCCAATTGAGCATTCATTCCACTCTCCTCATCTCGCAGCGAAATCTTCACCTATCTCTCTGACTTTCTTTCATTATTAGCCTGAAATATATATCACACCGATTCTACCTGAGGTAGTACGTTGTTCTTGATGGCATCCCAGCAGTGATCGCAAAGCTTATGACTCTTTATGTCATCGATCGTCTCAGCGACCTGTCGAACGGATTGTTAGCATATTGATGGCTCCGCCGTATGAGACGGCAACGATCGACTGGTACAGCATAGGGGTGACTCACTTCAGCCAGACAGCCAAGCTTTTCCTTCTTGCCAACCTTTCCAATGCCTTTGGTACCCACGACTTCAATGAGGCACTTGACAGATGTGAAGCCGAGCTCCACACCGCATCTCACGACGTTGCATCCGTCGACCACAAGTTGGTCGTCACTTGCGAGCAGTTCCTGTTCAGCTTCATCGAGCTGATCCCATACAAATTTTCCGGCTTCGCTCAAAGCGTTAACAACATCAGAGAAGAAGTCCAGGATGTCATCAAAAATTCCCGGAACTGGAGCGGGTGCTGGCTTGGGAGACCGCGCTATGTAGTTGGGTGCAAGCCCTGTTGAGAGCGAAAGCATGGAGAGTAAGGCAACGAAAAAGGTAAAGGTCTTCATCTTGTGTGCAGTAAAACTTTTTGGTTTGGTTATCGAAGCAGTGTTTGGTTTTGTTGCAGCTCTAGGCTCATTTGTATGAGTTTATGGTCTTCGTCGTCGCAGAGGAATGCTCGCTCTTTATGTCAAGATCCCCCTTGCCCTCTCTTCATATTGATTGTGCACTTCTCGTGCCTAAGATGACCTATTTTGAGACCAACAAACTTCAGACTCTCGTGCATGAGATTTCCTCTCAACTCCAATGTTTCCTATCACGCGCGAAGCCGTTATCTCCTATTTTTGCCAGAGCCTGCTTTCAAGCTGAGCTCTCGAATGCGGTTCTTTCCCTATGCGTCCGCAAAAGGGGCTGTGCGGATCCTCCACAACGAGGCTGCGATGAATCGGATGAGTGCTTGCATGTAAGCGCCGAAGAGACTACGACAATGCATGTAAATTCCTGTTGGTATCCGCTTGCATGGTATGACAGGTATACTTGAGTGTTTCTAAGCTATTGCAAAAGGGTTTTCCAGAGCCTTACGATGGCACGTTCTCAGGCACCGGTACCTCATTCGAATCACGGCGACGATGTGCTTTGAAATCACGTTAATACCTCAACTGTACATGATTCTTCATGTGTTCTCAGGTCTCATTTACAGCCTGTAGGCTTTGATGCCACACGCAGCCTGCGCAGAAGGGGCTGTGTGACGTGTAAAAGCTAGGCGCGTACCTGCACGTACTTCGATGTTGCAGGTTGGATGCACAACGTCCGCTCCGGGCGTAGAGGTGTTACCAACATACAGGCCAGATACTTACAGCTATGTATACAGCTACGTACCTTTCTGGATAACATCAGTCTGTGCCGTATGGTCTAATTGGGAAGGTTTGTTGGTCACTACCACATGCACTCTTGAGTCTTGACCGCAGTAGCGGGTCAGCCCTTCACCATTGAGCGATGCCAGACTCCTACATAGGGGTAGAAAATGCAAATCAGCCCAAATCATTGTCTCTAAACTTCCCCAGTCCCTAATATCTATAATAAACTACTTCAATTACTGGCTCTAGTTCTTGCAGTCTACTAGACTGCCCCAATCTGTAATGAAAATTCTAGTCATTAACCTTCTATCCCAGAATCAGCAAACTCGCTGAAGGGCGCAACAGCGTCAACGTATCTGCGAAACCTGACATTGCAATCGCTGACTTGTAAGTAACGAGTAGTAACAGGCGTAGAATGAGTAGGCTATGCGCATATCCCAAGTCCTCACCTGACCATGTTAGGCTGGTGGTCGACCGCAAATAAACTAAAAACCCCGCGGCTTAAGCAGTCACAAACCTACTCCTTTGTCTCAACTTTCCGCCATATTTGAATAGAAGCCAAGGGATTGGTATCAGAGGAAGTGAGAGGAACGCAAATACGCTGCCAGCCCAGTGCACGCCAAGCTTCTCATACATCTGGAGAGTGAACAAGGGAAAGACAGCACCCAGAATGTATCGAAGGATACCATTTGCGGCCAGGGCTGAGGATGATGTTAGAATCACTTCCAACGAAATGAAAAGCTTCCAGAAAGAGGTACATCCACTTACCAGATGCCGCGGCCTTTTGGCCATAAAAGTCGACCATGTAGGTGATGACAGACAACTTGAATGAGTTAGTTACGCCCTCCGCTTCGGATCGGAAGCCTTATTACTCACGAATAGACAAAAGGCGCCGAGCCCGAATGGGATACCAGCCGCGACCAAGGCGGCCCAGTGACCCCCACGATGAGCTTCCCATGCATACCAGAATAATCCAGCAGGGAGAGCAACACTACCCACGAGCGCCGCATACAGACGCTGCTCGGGAAATCCTTTCCCGGCTTGCACAGCAGGTATTCTGAACTTGGCATCGAGGAAAGCAAAAACAAAGGTTGCGAGGAAATAGCCAATGATGATGCTAAGGAAGCTCAATCCAACTTCTCTCAAATTGAAACCGTAGTACTTCTGGAGGACGTAGGAGCAGCTGCCGAAATAGCTGAAGATCATGGCATAGGCAAAAGCTGTGTAGATGGCCAGCGAGGAGACGATAACCTCAGTGAGGAGCATCTTTGTCGGTCTCATAACGGCGACTCGAATAATGCTGCCAAGTCCCGCGAAAGTGATGGTCTTTTCCCCTGACTCTTTGCGCAGAATCCAGGCTTTTGATGTCTCCTTCATCAATATAGCCCCGACCCAGATGGGAGCACCAACCATGAGGAGAACATATTGCGTCCATCTCCAGTCGTTGCCTCTGTCGTGTACGATATAAGCTCCAGCCAAAGGCCCCAAAGTCGGTCCCAAAAACGGGCCAAGGATGTACAACAGTGATGCGCCAGCTCCCTTGCCGAGTTCCCAAACATCGGCAATGGTTCCTGCGCCGACAGCGATGCCGGCAGAGCCCAGCGTTCCAGCTATGAAACGGCAGGCGAGAAGTCCAGAGAATGTTGTCACCGCCGACGCACCTCCAAGGAATGCGAGGAGGAAAGTGCAGGATCCGGCGTAGATCCACTTGCGACCAATTACTTCAGAGAACGGGGCGATGAAGAGGGGACCGATGGCGAGACCGAGTGTATAGAGCGTCAGGGGAAGGATGGATTTCGTGCGCGAGACGGAGAACTCGTCCATTATTAGACTGGTCGCGGGGACTATAATTGAGGTTGCGAACGTGCTGCAAGATTTCCATGTCAGATTAGATTATATCGAAGGCATTAGTAGGGAAGAAACCGACATTTCGAACGCCAAGAAGCATGGAATCGCAGTGTGAAAGAGCCTGGAAAGAAAACTCCAGTTCTTGGGGTTTCTCGACTCACGAGGGTCGTCCCATGCGAGTTGCTGTTGACCACCATCTTCGGAAGAAGTGCTGTCCTCACCTGCCCTTTTCTCAACATCTTCTTCTGGTCGGTCCATTACTGGAGGTTTGATGGAAGATTCTTGGCTTGTTGTGCTCATTTCGGCAGCAATAATCATGCATTAGAGACACTGCCGCTGATTCTTGTGATGAGGGGATGCTTGAGTAATCCAAAAACCCAGTGCCACGGCCCTGGGATAGGGAGATCTATATACCAGGCAGACTCTGGCGAAGATCTTTTAAGTTGATAGGAGTATCGGCGTCTAGCGTTGCTGAAATCCGTGTCATTGGTTATTGCCTTTCCGGAATTCGGGTGGCAGGTGGACTTGGCCAACTGTTCACGCCGAAACCTTGAAGCTTAAGAGAGCGGATGACCTTATCTTGTCTCTGATTCATATTTCTTCACCAGAGGGTCTGTAAGCACTACCTTACTGCTGGCCTTCATGACCCTCGGCCTATGGGTATCTTGGTTGGTAAGGTGATTACTGATCTCTGATGAACTGGAATCTAGCGGTGGGATAAGGCTATGAGATGAACCATGGTATTAAGCTATGGCCTGACCGTTGGCTCAACTTTCCACCCAGAACTCAAGATGTGCAATTTTATATCGTGGGATCTTTGAATTGATTATCCCTCAACAAATTTTCCATGACTATCAGATGTTGCGAAATCCCGACCATCGTCGTCTGCACAGTATTATCTTACATCGCAAACGCGGCACACTGTTGTTGATTAGTAAACTGGTCCTCGGCTGGCGCAGTGGCGCTAGTGTCCCAGGAATTTGCCAATGAATCAATGCGAACAGAACCCCTGTGAGCGCTGAGAAGCCAGAATTATGTCTTGAACGCATGAGTAGCGTGGGAGATCTACGGTCTGGTTGGTCCAGTCTTAGCAGCTGGATGAGATCAGAGCCAACATCGATGTCGTTTTACTAGCGCGGCTAGGATTCAAACTCGGAGCAAATTACATAATTCGAAGACCCCTAGAGCTTGGGATGCGCGGTACTTACAGGTACAAATTCATTCTGCTCACCGGCGTACACTTCCCACCTACCTCGCCATGCTCAACAACTGGGGTCAAGCATTCTGCATCATCTTTATCACTTACAAATAGCTCCCTTCGAATATTTTAATGCGCAATCGATTGTTTGATAGCACGGTCGCCGTAGATATTGAGTTGCTCGATACCTTCTGGCTCTTGCAGGGCGATCAAAGAGAATCCGGGTAGCTCAGCTAGGCCATATCCCAGGTTGCAGAGCAACCAAGAAGGCTAAGACTGGGGTCCGCGGGAAGTAAAGTTTCTCGGTTCCTCTTTAGTGCATTGTACTCTGCTATCTTAATGGAACCCTTACGTCGCAATGGCATCCTTGACTCTCAGTGGTGCAACAGCCCTCGCGAGGCCAGGGTCTCGTCGAGGCTGCAAACGAGACTGGATTTGATCCGCAAACTCAGCTTCCAAACAACTGATCATTTCCTCGATATCATAGTCCCAGATCTTGTGCGATCTTTCCTCGAGGTCTTTGAGACATTTGTCCCAGTCACGCATAGTGTCTGGATGGTTCCACTCGTAAATCTCGCAGGCTTCGCGGCTGCTCTTCACCAGCCACTTCCCACGAGGTGGTCGAACAGTATCGTAAGCCCGGAACATGGCCTCCAGTAAGTCAGACTTGTCGTTTTGTGTAGGTCTGGATAGGCCTTGCAAAATCTTCGTGCCATTGTCAAGGAGTGTGGCCAAAGCTAGCGCATCCTCGACGCCCATACCTGCGCCGGCTCCGTGATGAGGAGTGGAGGCGTGAGCAGCATCACCTGCAAGACAAAGCCTCCCTTTGACATACGTTGGAGCAGGGTAGTCGTAAGTATCAAAGATGGCCCATTTAGTAATTTCATCTGGCAGCAAGTCAATGAGACTCTTGACTGTAGGACCCCAGTCCTGGAATACATCAGCGACCTCCTTCCTTGTCGTCTGACTTGTCATGTTAGCAACTCCATCGCCCCTCTTGTCCCGATCAGTAGTATCATCGGCAAAGGCCACAAAGTTAAGAATCGTACCACCTGCCACCGCGAAATGCAGGACATGTGCTCGTGGACCGGTGTGGCAATGCTCGTTGTAGGCTTTGAAGCTTCCGATGGCGGCTACTGCGCGGTCCATGGGTATCAAGGCCCTATAGGCAACTTTGTGGCTGGAGTGAGGGTACGCGGCGGGGGTATCCGGTCCGAGAACCAGCTGTCGGACCTTGGATTTGATGCCGTCGCATCCAATAACTTGTAAGCATCAGTGACAAGGACAGTAATAATGTCATTGGGAGTCGACATTTGCCATGATGGAATCTTTGTTATGTGACTCTTACCTGCATCGGCGCTGGATGTGGTGCCGTCCTGAAAATGCAGAAGCACCTTTCCCCCTATATCTTCATTTGTCACATTTACCAGTTTCTTACGGAATGCGACCGCAGCGTCTGGGATGATCTTGACAAGCTCGTCTAAGAGATGAGCCCGATGACAGCCAATGAATCCCTCATGCCCAGTGTCGAGGTTATACAGAGGCATATCTTCTTCGCCAGGGCGATTCTCATCCCAGGTATATCCATCGTTGAAACGGAGGCACTCTTCGGGCTCGTCTTCGTTCTCACCGTTGTGTGTGGCTACGGCGTTGACGGCCTCCTCAATGAATGGATTTAGTAGGGCCATGCACCTCCTGGCATTGGTAGTGAAGCCAATTCCGGCACCGATCTCGCGGAAGGAGCGGGACTGTTCGTATATCTTGACAGGAATATTCCGCTTTAGTAAGCCCAGCGCTGTGATGAGACCTACAATTCCACCACCGACGATGGCAATCTCGAAATTTTCGTTGGAATCGGACATGATTGAAGAAAGGCTCTTTAAAACTATTTGTGAAGGAAGTCTGCAGCCGTTTGAATATGGAGCGAGGTAGTTATCATTAGATCAATTATACCTCAATCTGAGTGCGTTGGGCAAGAAGTACCTTGCTGTCGATGGCGCTTACTCATCTGGCTGCACATGTAATATCAACCTTTAACTGATATTAGGTGCACGTCCTGAAACACCGGAGTTCGCGGTCTTCCTGTCCGGCGGATGATGATCTCATCCGAATAGTGTTCAGAGCATTGACGGCCTCGCCGACGGACTTCGGCTCTCGGCCCATTGCCCTTTGGCAAATCACCTTTTCTCGGTGAAAACGAAGATAGGGTCGATGTACGCCGGGAACATTCTAGAGACCACGCGAGTATCTCATGTAGGTTTCTCAAGACAGCCGGTGCTTGTAGCTTGTAAGTAATGACTTTAATCACTGACAAATTCATTATATAGGGGAAGAACCTTCGAAACTCAAGTGAGATACAGCTGAAGCAAGCGGCTGAATATTACTTTCATATTGACTTTACACACGCTCAGAATAGACCAACATTTCCATCCACCACTCGTGAACGATCCAGGGGATGTTCAGTCCCCCATACTTGGTTCCTCAATCAACAGGTCCATGAGAGAGTCAGGCGTCGCCAAGGCATCCTCATATCCAAACCGAGGCGGTTCTGGCTTCGGGATACCTTGGCAAAACCCATTTGCAGCTTTCAACTCCCCCAAAGCTTCATCCATCGTCTTAATCTCATCTTCTATCGCCATGCCACGTTCCTGAAACCTGACCAGAGCTTCCCGACATGAATGAAATGGCGCTGGCGTAAATGGGTGGATCTGGCAAATGTTGAAATCGGATAATAAAATACTCGATAAGCGTGCAATCTCTCTAGCTGCTGCTACGGCTCTTTCCTCACAGCCATCGACGAGATGATGGTACTCTGCAGTAGTATCCGGCATCGTTGCGGCCACCTCCAGAAGTGATAGTGACGCTACTTGGGCTACTATCCTAGTAAGTAATGTCATAGATCCAGCGCGATGAGATACGGGGAGGCCCTGCAGACGGAAAATCTGCCGCGTCAGGACGGAGTCCACAAACATGTGGCGCTCCGAAAACTGGGCAGGCGACCTCCCACTTTCATGTCCAATCCTCGATCGATTCTTGTGGGCTTGAATCTGCTCGGACATTGAGATGGATAGAATGAATTCCAAGAACGGATGTTGCTTTGCTGCTGTCTGTAGCTCCATAGCTTCTGAGAGAAACAGAGAGATGGTGGGCGTGCGGCTTTGAAATGCGTCTTCAGAGCAAGGAAGCCGAGTATGTATCTGGATACATCCTATCATTAGTACAAGAATTCATAATGTATCTGCAATAATATTTAAGAAAAGATTGGCGCATAATGCTGATGAACAGGGGTTGAGTGCGTACCTCAGATTCAGTGAACGTCCGGGGCAGATCATGCGCCAAGCAAATAACAGTATCTAGACAAAATACCATCCAGAACGTCCTTCTCTTCTCCTCTTTCTCGACAAAGTAATCTGGGTCCTCGGCTGATCCGGAGGCTTTGGAGCAACTTGAATCGATATTGCTCAGGCGCAGGAGCTGTATCAGGCGTATCGCTCGCCCCGTACTCACCCATGCGCGGTGAAAACCGACCGTCATCAGCTCATACATCGAGATGAGAATCCACGCCTGGGTCTGCTTTAATAAATCCTTCTCTTTATCCACTGGACTGCCAGGAGAGTCAAGATTCCCGAGGCGGTCGAGGGCTTCGCGATACATGGTGTCGCACAAATGTTGAAACTGCGGCGACAGTGAAGACGCTATTGCCCACATTGCGTACTGTAGACATGTATGTGAAAGTTTGGATTCGTCCAAAGTAGAGCGGCTGTTCATTGTTGGTCTCTTTTCCAAATGCTTTGATATGCGAATGTACGAGGATTGGTGTAAGAACGGTGTAAATGAGTGAACTCTGTCGAAGTAGAGCTGGTCACTACATCCAATGTTCAGCGACAAGATACACAGGCATCAACATGGAGTCTCGACGTATGCCCCGAGACAGTTACTCACAGATCAGCTCTCATTAAGGGCCCAATATCCCGAAAGGTGTCAAGCGCCTGAGCCGGCAACGTCGGAAGCACGCCCGTGTAGTTGAAGGCATCGTTGGCGATGATAGGCAGTGGGGTGGAATCTACAGGAGTGGATGTCTGAGTTGGAACATCTGCTCGTGCCGGGTAGGTCAAGTCCGCGTCAGATAAAGAAGTGAAGTAGTCCGTAGCAACAGACAAGGTCTCTCGATGACTATCAAGACTGGAGCCATGAAGGTCCGAGCTTGCTGAAGATTCGCAACTCCGCCTCAGGGCTTTGTTGACCTCGATTGAATCGCTCCTTCTCCTTCTCGCAAGGCGCCGTTCAAGAGTGGCTGCATTTACTTATCTTGTCAGTATCTGTAGTACGAATCCTAAATGTCCCACTCCAAGGCATTGCCCTTTACAGTGAAAATGTTGCTGACTGACCAATCCTTGATTGAAGCGTCTTCATATGATCTTTCTTGGATATTTGGGGTGGGGCAGCCGAGGCACTTCGACAACGTGAACCCGTACGAACACACCCGCTGCAAGGCTGTTTTCGATCACATCTAAGCTTGCCCTTTTGGCACTGCCGGCAGGTTAAATCAGGGCTGCGGCGGATATCATGGCTCGTTGCCGGGCTCCTGCGTGTTTCGGTCTCCTCCGTTATCGATGATGCCACGGACCGGGGCGGTGTTGGGCCATTCGGCCCATTCTTCGGGTGCGACTGGCATAATACGCCACGTTCGAAGCAAGGGAGACAGAAGTTGCTCCCGTCCATTGATGTTGTGAGCGGTGTGGTTGGAGAGTTGCCGATTATGATGCACTCAATGCTGCGTCTGTTTGACAATGAATACGTTCAACTTGCGCCAACCAGAACTTTGAATGCTCGTTGATGAAAACACCTGCTTGGAGACACCAAGACACGGTTATGTATGCTACATAGCTGCCAGCTTCCTCAGCGTTTGCCACTTTAGCGGCGTGATCTGAGTTCAGATAAGCAAAGATGCATCTCAATCAACATGGATAAAGTGTGACAGGACGATCCTGGTCTTTGATGAAAACCACATGAAATCTACCCAAAAGTGCCATTGCGAATTTGTGGTGATGCTAAGGAAAAGGAAATCAACCCCTGGAGGTTCCCATCACCGACGCTAGTCGCCTGGTAAAGAGCAAACTTTGCTGCTTGTTTGTTACCAAGGGTGTTTGCCCCTTTCCTCGGAATACTGATCCGTTGTGCCGCCCGCTTCATATTCCTTTTGCAGACCCCGCTTTTCCTTTTCTTTTGGCCGTTGTGTTTGCTTGTTTGCTCCCTCGGCTGATAGTTTGCCTATTAGTGCCTGACGGTTCATGTATGAGAAATTTTGCACAATTACCGGGATGCCGGGATCGTTCTCTTGTCAGTCATCTTGCTGACCGGGCCCGGCCTTGCGATTCCCGGATCGGTGGAGTTCGCGACCTTCCGGGGTTGGAAGATGGCAAACCCGATCCCCTCCATGGTAGCTGATAGAGCATGAATAATGTGGATCAAGATCTTCGTAAGCGATGGCAGTTACGTGCCTGCCTTGGTCTTCGATGCGCCAGAAAGTGAGTTCTCAATTATATAGTATCGAAAGTACAGGCCAACCTCGAAATCTTACACGTGCACGCCGCTTATTCTCCGTCTACTCACTGGGGACTGCAAGTGCCTCGTCAATCGTCTTCCAAGTGTGATCTTTGACCTTTTTCAAATCCTCCTCAGTGAAAATAGCCTTGTTGCCGACAACCTTACCATTTTGATCGATACAACTCCAAGATGCGCCGTCCTTCCCCGAGGCCCCGTCCACTCCCTCCAGAAGTCTCTCGGCGCAGGTATCGGCCGGCACGCCCATCACATTGGTCAGGAGTTTTGTCGCAGTCCGAAGATACCACGGCATGGTATGGAAGAGATTGGTCTGTACGATGCCAGGGTACGCGTGGATGAAGTGTTGCCTCTTGTCCTTGTTCTCGGCCGCATAGGCCTGGATCATGGCGTCCGTCATGGACAGGCAGTGGTCCGCTGCTTTTTGCAAGCTGAAGTTCTTCTTCAGGTCCAAGTCGTCCCAAATCAGCTTCGTCGGGCTTCCGCGGGTGCTATCAAGGACGATGAGGACTTTGGCATCGTCCTTTAGGATGGGGCTCAGCTCGCGGATGAGAAGCTGCCTGCCGTAGTAGTGAAGGGCCATCTTGCGGTCGATTCCCTCTGACGTCTCGGTTCTACCTGCCATGGTGAGAATGCCTTGGGTGAGGACGAGCAAGTCGAGTTGTGGGTCTTGGAGGGACTTGTAGTCGTCCGTGTATCGCTTGATGGAGCGCATGGAAGATGCGTCCAAGGCGCGGAACTTGATGTTGGGGTGAGGGACGTCCTTGGGTTCGGTGCGGCCACTGATAGTCACTTGTGAGGATGCCGAAGCTGCGGCGAGGCGGCAGGCAATGGCGAAGCCAATGCCACCCGTTCCTCCTACGACTAATGATCGTGTAGCCATGACTTGCTATGAGAGTTGGATGAGATAGATGGTGGGATGTGAGGATGTCTTGGGGATTTCAAGCTCCTTATCAAACTTGGAAGCTGAGCTTGGCTCGGCGTGTGGTTAGGCCGATTCCGAAAACAATTCCAAGCTTCCCTAAGTCCGCATGTCCGCGTCATCTGATTGGCTCAATTCATCTGGCATTTTCCATTTCATGCAAAGGAAGCTTTCTAAGTCCGCAAAATCCGCCCACAACTTGTGTTTTGCAGCTGTCCATGAGTATGGTTTGGTATGACATTGCTTTGAAGCTCTTGGCTGCGAACATATGACAGTTAAGATAGATCCTCAAGGTCACTCCGACTTTCCGTTTAGTGTCCTTCCTTGTGGAACCTCCATTGCTTACGCCCCTACCTCTTGTCTTCTTGCGGCTTGTCGCCTCTTTCGGGTTTTGGTGGTACCGACATGGGGAACATAGGCTTATGCCGGGGATGAGATGACGACGGAACGGATGGAAAGGGGATGGAAAGTGCCCTCGAGTCCGGGCTCCGCAGCTTCCACTTCGCCGTATTTCGGAAAATCCTAGGCCCATTTCCCGGACATGTTATTTATAGCCTCGATTATATCCAGACTCCACGTGACCCTCACAGACCTTACGTAAGTACCAAGGATGAGCCGAAGTGCCGGACTGGGGATCTTCCCTTGAACCAAGTCGGCCACCTTACTGCATCAGTGCATAGCAGGACCCCAAGAGCTCCGATTCCCCTGCTCGCGGCTCTGCGGCAACGTTAACTCTGGGCGAGCGGGGCCGCTGACGCGTTACTGGTCTTCTGGCGGTTCAGCGCCAGCCAAAGAGAGACATCGCGGGACGCATGGGCTGCCGATGTTCCAGGTGAGAGAAGTCTCTGCCTGGGAAGCCTGGCACGCCTGGCCTGGTGTTTCCTGGCAGGGCGAGATCTTCCAAAGTGGTTGAGTTTTGAAAGGGATTGAAATCTGGAGCCAGAGCCACATTTCCCCCGTCTATTTCGCACCCCCGGGCCCTGGCCGTATGTTCCGTGGTCCGTCATACGGATACTCTTGTTCCCTTGAGGGCTGAAGTTTCGATCTCCTGCAAATCTGTTCCCTTTTTTTTCCCATTTCCTCTCCTTGTGGTCCGAGTCTTGACCTACGCCCAACGGTTGTCATTGTCACACGTCACACGTCATACACACTACCACAGTGACCGCACCACACACAAAGGTTGACGACTGGACAAAAGAGGTGTTCACTGGTCGGTCGTCTGGGATGTCATTCTCGGCCCTACCACACTACTTCAGCCCTTCGGACGGATCTGTGGGATCCAACGTGCTGGGTCACACCTAAACTGGGTCTCTACTCCGAATCTTTTGCCCATCCCACCGCTCCTCATTCCATTCTCCTTGGCGAACTACGGAGGGGCCCCCTCTGGTTCATCAACTTCGGTTCTTCGATTTGTTCCATTTGTTAAAATTTGTCCCGCCCCAGCCCGTGGAGCACTGGAGACGTTTCTTCACGTCGGCGGTGCCGAGTTTCCATTCTTGACCCTTCTACCCTACATAATCACGCCTTCTCCCCCTCGCGCTGCGCGAGGTCTTGTAGAGGGACGATGGGCATAATGGAGAAACTAGGGGTGACAGACCCCTTGGCAAAGCTTCCCCACAAGCCGCAGTCTTACAACGACAAATATGTCGTCGTCTACGACTTCAGTGAAGTCGGTACGTCAATTTCTCATTCGTCTTTCTATCATGATCGGGAACTATCGTTGGAATGGGGCTGGCCGACTGACTGTGCCCCAGATTCTGAGACCTCCGTCAAGGAGCTCACTACACTCCTTAACGAACTCGAGTCTGCTGGTCTCCAGACGGAAGTGAGGGCCGGCTATGATCAGACCCTTCTTATCTTCGTGAAGGCTCCTCGGGAGCTTCTAGGAAACACCGTCTACAAGTCGAGGTCAGTTGGACCAACCATCGTCACGGTCAGCTGAAGCTCTTGGCTGACATTTCCACCAGAGTAAAGGACTGGCTCTATGGCATCGTCCCCGAACATCCCGGCGGCACCAAGACCACCGTCGTCGACGGCGCCTTTGAGGCAGAGGACATTCTTTCAGTCTACCACCTCGTCAACTGGCCCAAGTCTCTCGGTGGCGCTGGAATCACGCCCGAGACGGGCCAGTGGAAGAATGTCAAGGCCATTTTCCCTCTGCACAATGAGGAGACGAACCAATCCCTCATGAAGCATCTCAGCAAGCGGCTGTTCCTGACGCCCGACGATATCGATTCCATTCGCGACCTCTGGGGAACCAAGGTGAGTCCCGCCAACCTGCGTTCTCTGCCTATGCCGTCTAACAGAACATTCGCATAGGTCGCTTTCTACTTTGCCTTCATCCAGACCTATCTTCTCTTCCTCACCTTCCCCGCAATCACCGGTGTCATTGCCTGGATGTACTTCTCAAAGTACTCCCTCACCTACGCTATCGCGACATGTGTCTGGTGCACCGTCTTCCTGGAATACTGGAAGATCCAGGAAGTTGATCTCAGTATCCGGTGGAACGTGCAGGGAATCGGCAAGGTCAAAGTCAACAGGCCGCAGTTCAAGTACGACAAGATTATCAAGGACGAGGCTGGCCAGGAGAAGCATTATTTCCCCAAGTGGAAGACGGTCTCCCGCCAACTGCTCCAAATCCCCTTTGTCTTGCTTTCCGCTCTGGCGCTGGGTGCCATCATCGTCCTTGTCTTTGCCATTGAGGTGCTTATTTCAGAAGGCTACGACGGCCCCTACAAGAACTTGATTGTAAGTTCTCTTTAGCATGCGTTGGTGCTTCAACGGGGTGCTAACCATAAGCAGGAATACGTTCCGACCTGCTTGCTCGCTATCGCGTTGCCCTACATCAGCAGCGGCCTCGAAGAAGTCGCCACGATGCTCACAAACTACGAAAACCACCGAACGGCCGATTACCACGAAATGTCTCTGACGCAAAAGATCTTCGTCCTCAACATCATCACAAACTACCTACCGATTCTCATCACGGCCTTCATTTACGTTCCCTTTGGCGACACCTTTGTCCCCTGGCTCGAGGGCATGACGAAGGGATTCCTCGGCGCCATTGGCCAAAAGTACATGGACGACGACCTTAGCTTCCACGTTGACGCTGACAGACTTCGTGACGAGGTCATCGCGCTCGTCGTCACAGGACAGATTTCCGGATTCTTCGACGAGAACATCATGCCGGTCCTCAAGCACAAGGCGCAAGGGATCTACCGCGAGTACAAGCGCTCGCACTCAAAGGACACGATGCTCATGTCCATCGTCAAGGATGCCCCCGAGGAAGCTAGATTCCTCCGCAGCGCACGCAACCAGGCCACCCTGGAAAAGTACAACGTCCAGGACGACATTGCCGAGATCGTCCTCCAGTTCGGCTACCTCGCCCTCTTCTCCCCCGTATGGCCCCTCATCCCCATCGGGTTCCTCATCAACAACATCGTCGAGCTACGCACCGACTTCCTCAAGATCTGCATGGAACATCGCCGCCCGCCCCCGGTGCGCACCGATGGCATCGGCCCGTGGATCAACTCTCTCGACTTCCTCACCTGGGCCGGCAGTCTCTCGACCGGCGCCATCGTGCACCTGTTCGGCGCAAACAGCATCGGCGGTGGAGCGTGGTGGGCGCTCCCCATCACCATCTTTATCAGCGAGCACGTGTTCCTCGGCTTGCGCTCGGTCGTCCGCTTCTGTCTAGAGAGCATCGGGTCGGAGCAAATTCGCAAGCAGAGGCACCAGCGATACGCGACGCGTGTGAAGCACCTCGAAGAGATGGAGGCCAACAAGCAGGCTGGGCTTATGCTCTCAGTCGCCGAGCGCGAGCGTCGCAAGTCAATCCGGGCGATGGGGCAGGAGTCCTTCTGGACGACACAGATTGACGACGGCGCGAGTGCCGCTGTGGGTATTGGTTTGATCCAATCGGTCAAGAGGGCTGAAGTGTTGAAAGCCGGGCAACCGAAGATTGACTAGTAGGATGTCTGTTTACTATACTGGTCAGATCATCTACACAAAATCGGCGTCTTGTTTGATTAGAGAGGTAAAATTTAGAGCATGAACACCATGCCAATAGAATGCCATACAACATCAGTCCGTCCGCCTGCTCCCCGAGCTGGTGACTGAAGCTAAGTGAAGAGCTAAGTGGAGATTGGACGAAGGGGTATAGTGACATGTCTTTGACATCACATCACAGCACTGACATCATCGGATCGCATCCGCGCCATCAACAAACACAGCATCAACATCAACCTGACTTTCGAGCATCGATCACAAGACTGACAAACAGGTCCTCTGAGACGATATCGACGGATAATTCGAGTTGTAACCACCAAGGCTCAGGACAGATCACTACGACTCATCCAAAATGTCCAAAATCACATCCTTCTTCAACAACCCAATCTCCTTCGCTTCATGCTCCATCGGCCTCCCTCGACACACCCTCGAAGACAAACTGGCAGCACTCTTCGCCGCCGGCTTCAACGGCATCGAACTCTCCTTCCCGGATCTCCGAACCTACGCCACTCAACACCTCAACAAGGGCGAAATCGCAGCCGACGACTATCACTCCCTCTGCGAAGCCGGCAAGCTCATCCACGAGCTATGCGCGGAGCTCAACCTACAAATCATGGTCTTACAGCCCTTTGCGAACTTCGAAGGGTGGCCAAAGGGCAGCAAGCAGCGAGAAGAAGCGTTTGAGCGCGCGAGGGGATGGATGGAGATCATGAGCGCCGTGGGGACAGATATGCTGCAGGTCGGATCGTCGGATTCGCCGGATATCACATCGTCGATCGGAGACCTTGTCGCCGATCTCGCAGAGTTGGCGGATCTTCTTGCGACGAGGGGGTTCAAGATCGCGTATGAGAATTGGTGCTGGGCCACGCACATGCCGTCGTGGAAGGATGTGTGGAAGATTGTGCAGCTTGCTAATCGGCCTAACTTGGGGCTCTGCTTGGATACTTTCCAGTCTGCTGGTGGAGAATGGGGAGATCCGACGACGGAATCGGGACGCATTGAGACTGGTTGTGTGAGCGAGCAAGATCTCAAGATGTCGTATGAGATCTCTCTTCAGGAACTTGCAAAGACGGTTCCGCCGGAGAAGATCTATTTTCTCCAGATCAGCGACGCGTACAAGGTCTCACCGCCGTTGAGCAAAGAGCCGGATGAGAGTGGGCTGAGACCCCGGGGGCACTGGAGCCATGATCATAGACCGCTGCCGTTCGACGGTGGGTATCTGCCCATCTTGCAGTTTTTGGAGGCTGTCATGAGCACCGGCTTCAGAGGGTGGTTGTCAGTCGAAGTGTTTGATGGGAAATTTGAGGAGAAGTACGGGGATGACCTGTCGGGATACGCCAAGAAGGGGAGGGATGGGGTTGTCAAGATGCTGGGCGAGATGATTGTCGATGGGAGTGGCCTCTGATTCTATGAATAGCGCGATGATGCTACAGCAATGCACGAGCGAAGCCACTCGAGCGGCTCAACCTTTCAAGTCGAGACTCACACCTCCCCATTCTTCCTCTCCTCGAGCTCATCAAACCTCACAGGCGTCTCATCCTCTGTCCACGGTATCACCTTCAATTCCTTCCAAATCCCCATCCACCTCCTCGCCTTCTTCTCATACACCTCCCGCACACCAACTGTCGGATTCGGCCTCACAATCATCGAAAAGAACTCAGACAACCCCTTCGGCGCATACACCCTCCACGCCCCATCCGCCTCCACCCGGACCCCAATCATCGCGCTAGTCGTGATCCACGTATCGATTCCAGCCTCAGTCGACTCGTGCGCCGGGCAAGGCACCCCAAACTTCTCCTCATACCATAGGTGCACCCGCGCCTGGTTCCTGATCTCCACCCCTTCGCCGGGGATGCCCTCGAACAGCTCGCGCCCGCGGCGAATCACGGCGTCCTCGGCCTCGTAGGAGAGGTCCGAGTCGTCGTGGTAGACGAGGTCGTAGTCTGAGATGCCTGTCGTGGGCGGGAGCGATGAGACGTGGTTCCAGATTGTTTGGGAGACGGCGCCGCCTGCGAGGTACCAGTTTGGGAGGTTTAGGGTGGTGGCGAGGGAGAGGACTTTGATGAGTGTTTCGTTGGTTTCGAGGACTTGACGGACGAGGGTAAGCTGTTCGCCCAGCGGGAGTCTTGCGGGATTTACGGCGGGCATTTTGGTTTTGCGTGTGAGGAAAGGCTCTTGGCGAGGTTTCTGTGTGAGGCTTTTGTTGATGGAATCACTTTTTCGACGCGCTATTGTTGACTCAGGCGCGTTGCGAACGTGTTTAAATTGGTGTTGAATGATGAGGATCAATCGCATCACGTTAGAGGTTTTGCGCCTGGCTTACCTAAGGTAAATTGTGATTTTGCCAGGCTTTCTTATTTAACATTGCGAACCGCGATACGTCATTGTGAAATTCGTCGCTGTAAATAGAACTTTAGAAGCATTCATGTTATCCCTGCATTCCCAGAACGACTAGCTCTGTCGCAATGAACTGGGGCTTACTTGGAGACGAAGCACTGTGACTGAATGAGCTGAGAACCCGTCGTATACTACAAGAAACCAACACACCTTAGCTATCACAGATACACTTCATTTACTACATAGGCAACTCAAGGACAATGCAAGATTTGGCGCCACATGCCATGATCTCTTCTTTCATCCTGGTGCGAAATCACCAATGGCCCCTCCTGGTTATATCGTCGGGTGAAGCATGTGAGCTTTCACTGTGAGCGCGCATTTGTAGCTTGCCGACCCCGCCACTACCCCGCAATCACGAGAGGCATCGCATCTCCAATCGTAGATTGAGTGGTCTATCTATTATTCAGCTGTGAACATCGAGACTGAAGGGCTTGCAGCTGACAGCGATAAGATGAACTAACTACATTGCGCTTTTTGGAGTTGTGAGATGATATGTTGAGCCTCATGTCGTCTGTGAAATTATGTTTTCAGCCCCAATACATCACTCATTCAGCTCATCAGGCGAATTTCGATGCAATATTTGCCGCGATGAAGTAGTGGTGCGCGGCATGTAGAGCTTCACCTCGACTCACTAACTCGCTCAAACCAAGCAGTTCAATGAGTGTAAGACAGCATATGCTCCTTTCTCATTCAGATGGTGCATTTTGCCTTTGCTGTAATTGTAGCAGGTAAACACCTATCTTTAGCTTGCGATGCTGCATGAGGCAGGAATGACTGACAAGCGCTGCAGCCTGCGCATTTAGCCTTGGCAAATTCATCTCAGGCATCAACGCACGCTGGCCATCAGGACATGATAGGTTGGAGCGGAATCAATGAGGGGTCGGACCGGCAATGTGCATTTAACTTGAGGCTGACCTCAGCCCTTCGCCTTTAAGCAACACGATTTTCCCTCGCAAGGCTGCGGAGTGAATGTGTCTGTGATCTGTTGAAGTCCAGCGGAGCCAGATCTCCGGTCCTTCACATATGCACCTGCTATTACCAAAACTTCACCCGAAGATACGGTCGACGGCTGCCATTGGACCGACGAAAGATGTACGATTCCAACACAGAAGCGTCAGGTGATGACAACAAGGAGACCGCCACAGATAGCAAGACCGGCTCGCTTAAGCGTGGCCGTGGCCAAGCGCATGGTAAGCACCTTCGTATTTGAGGGTAAAAGTCCTTGCCAGTGCGTACTAATGACGTTTTCAGACTTCGATGCCGATAAATTTCAACCCCGAAAACAGAAGAACAGTGGTGACGACCAGCTCGAGAGAAATACCCTTGTAGCACCAGAGGACTATACTACAGGTTGGGTGTGCGCGGTCCCGGCGGAAATGGTTGCAGCGAGAGGGATGCTCGATCAAGTTCATCCAGACTTGCCCCAGCAGAATCCAGCCGACCGCAACAGCTACATCTTGGGTCGGGTTAAAGGCCACAATGTCGTCATCGCTTGCCTGTCCCCGTATATCGATGGAACGACACCATTTGCCATAGCCACGAGGGACTTCTTCCGGACCTTTAAGTCAGTCCGGTTTTGCTTGATGGTAGGAATCGGAGGTGGTGTACCATCCCAAACACATGACATTCGACTGGGCGACATCGTAGTAAGCCAACCTACCGGAAGATATGGAGGTGTCGTCCAGTACGATTTGGGCAGGGCATGGCAAGGGGAAGAGTTCCAACGCACTGGCGCCCTAATTGCACCACCACAGTTCCTCCTAGCAGCCCTAAGTCGTCTAAAGGCCGATCATCTGAGCCAAGACAGCGGAATCCCTGGGTTTTTATCCGAGCTTGTCCATAAAGCTCCGAAGAGGATGAAGAAGAATTTCGCTTACCAAGGAGCTGCGAACGATTGTCTCTATAAAGCAGAGTACGAACATGTTGACCAGAACTCTGGATGCGGCGAGTGTGATCTCTCACACACAATCCAACGGGCTGCCCGAGACGACACAAACCCAGTCACTCATTATGGGACCATTGCTTCAGGCGATTACATCATCAAGAACGGAAAGACCCGTGATTTATTGAGCCAGGACCTTGGAGTACTCTGTTTTGACCTAGAGGCTGCAGAACTGCGGCACCTCCCGTGTCTTGTCATCCGTGGTATTTGCGACTATGCCGATTCGCATAAGAACGGAAAGTGGCAAGAGTACTCAGCTGCAACAGCAGCTGCTTTTGCAAAGGAGCTTCTTTCGGTAATACCGCCAAACAGGGTTCTGCAGGAGAAGCCTATCCAGCAGTTACTGTTCGGTAAGTGAGCACTTCTTAGCTTGAACATTTTGATTAACACATCCTTCTATACGCAAATTTCGTTGTTTGAGATGTATTCCAAGTTCAACTGCTCTTTTCCGGAAACACAGGTGCTATCCCCTGCTGCAAACTTGACTGAGACTCGTCTTGGCCAGATCTTCTACCCGAAAATCATTTTCGACCTGCGCCGTTGGACGCCCGCACAATTCTCACCGACAGCTACGGAACTTCCAATGTGGCTAGCGAGATATTCAGCGCGGGTCTTGTCTCTACGAAGCCGTCATCATTCGAGGAAAACACCAATGCCGTTGACGGGGACAAGGCAATAAGACAGATGGCCAAGACTTTCTACAATCACACACGCATCGAAAGTCCCCCCGATAATGTCGATGATGAAATCAGATCCCTCGCATCGGGACCTGAAGATATTCAATCTCAAGATGGATCAAGTCCTACTCGCTGGGAGGTCAAAAAAGCAGCAGCTAGCTACTTGGCTGAAATGTTGACTACTGACTCAACACTCCGCCCCCTATATCGAGAGGCGTCTCAACGTTTGGATAATGAACGATTTTCTCGGAACCATGGACGTTTGCTCAAAAGATATTATCTATCGCTGCGCTCGCAAACTGGAAACCGAAAACAAAGCGTAGCGGTCAATTTTCTCAGACCAAGATCTAACAGAACACTCATCTCGAGAAAGATCCTCGAGAGCATAGGAAGAGAAACGGTTCAAGTAACATTGCCTCAACATGACGAGCGGAACTTGACTTTGGAACGCTTTCTTAACAGCGTCGAAGTGGGCCCGGATGCAATCACTGCAGAATTTGAAATGCCTCTGGATATTGATGAGGAACAAGAAAGCTCTGTAGATGGAGACGACCAAGATGGCCTTGACCTCGTTGATCTTGAGAATGCCAGAAGCTATTTCACCTCCGGAACATCACTAATGCAATTCAAAGCCGAGTTCCGAGACTTCCTTCACCTCCCCCGCATGGTCGTGGAAAAGGCGCAGACACAAATGCAGGGACAAACGGACACGGAGTCAGGGCGGGGGGGCAATGCCAAGTCGCACGAATGGTTCTATAGCGTTGGGTTTTCGCAAAGCAAACTAACGTCTTGGCTTTACGATACGGTTTATCCACCAAAATCGGGGTATCAAAGAGTTCGGTACATCTGTGTAGGTGGCTAAATTCTCATCATCATCTCGCTTCTCAGAGTAAGGAGCCGGGGCTTATTACTTAGCTACTACAGGAATGCGATGATCACATGTTTTTAGATATCAAAGAGCTCCAGCCAGGTGGAGCGCAGCGATTTCGGCAGCGCCTTGTCAAATATGGACTTGCCAGGCTCATCACCCCCTACGATTCAACCACAGCTCAGGACTCAACCGCGGATCAAGATCTTCAGGGCAGTGTTTCTCTCCCCCCTCCTGCGCGTTTCAGGTCAGAGAGAAGTCAGTATAGCTCGTCGCGGCAGAATTCTGGGCCGAATACTTTTTCGTCAAGACCAGGATCGTCACCACTACCGTCCGACACTCCAGGGTCCGAGGAGGTGGCGTTCTGTCCAGAAGAACGAAATACTCCCCAATACTTGCTGCTGTGCGTCAACCAAAAAAGCCTCCCGGTATTAGACCATATTGACTGCAATTATTTCGGGAATGATCAATACCTTTTCCAGCATATCTTGGAAAGGTACCAGATAATACGTGCGGGATCAACCTGGAGAATCCCCCTGCTTTTCCCACCTTTGGTATGCGAAATACTAGAAAAAGGAGTGACCTTTCTCAGGCAAAATACTCCAAGCTGGCTGAATTGGATGTTCCAATTCTTTCAAAAGCTGTCCGAGGCTAGTCTTTTCGTCATGCACACTGGCGATTACGTTCGAGTATGTTAAGAGAAGTTTCTTTTCCCGTAGAACACTGCCACTAATAGCCCTCCAAAAAGTTTCGACTCGTTCCGATGGGAGAATCTACCAACCCGCAACATTTCAAATGTGGGGAGTATCCCCCTGTCTCCGAAGTATTAGAAGCAAAAAGCTATTCGTACAGTCCAGTACCGACTGATGTTGCGGTTGATTCCATTCCCTTGTGGCATCTAACGCTCCCTGGGCGCCGACACACCGACAACTACTGGATTTCAACATTTCCCAAAAAGCTTCGAGGTCCGTTACACCGCCTACCAGGAACCCGCGAAAGAGTAATCGGATGGGGCATACGAATAAACGAGCGCTTCAATTGGCACCTGTTTTTCTCTCTTCTTCTGGTAATCGCGGTGATTATCTGGGCAATTGTGGCCGTCTATCTTGCATACAAGGCCGATGACTCTTCTGGATTTGGTTTGGGGGCTTTGCTCGCAGCACTTATTGCGATTTATATGCCTTTTCAGTATTTTTCTTGGAAGGAAAAGCTGGAATAGAACTGTTCGCGACCTGCCTCGTATGGCACCGGCTTGCGCTCCCATGACGTTATGGGTTAATCAGTTAAGTCATTTGTTCTTAGATGGCCACAAATCCACTTCTCATATCAGCAATGATGCAAACAAAAATATTGATGTGTTCAATGCCCTGAGTAACAAAAGACGTGCAGGGCATAATGCCGACATAGCCTGTACTAAATCCAAGTGTGTCGAAAGGCCTCGCTCTACGTAACCGGATCAAATTGGTCCATGGATCAAGAATGATTGTCGCAACGGTATGAGAGGGAACTCGACATCTTACAACTACGGCGATCATAATTGTGTGGTGGTGCTAGAGATCCAAAATCTCTAATCCCCGAGTACTGCCCTGTAAGAGATCAGGAAAGGCGACCTCTATGAATCGACTATCATATCATAGTACTTCCAATGATGGACGCAAAGATCAAGCGCCTTTTCACCTAAGAAAGCGGTAAATTTCGTTAAATACGATTTGGCTTACATAATACATGCTACTAGCGCTGGCAGATTCGACCATCACTGGCCTTTATTTACAGTTGTCAGACTCATTATCATTGCTTTAGTATTACTTAAACAGGGTATTATGCTTTTACTAAGATTTGTGGCCGTCATATCGGATATATCAAACTCACGAGTCCTTCTGCTCGTCGACAATGAGGAAGCTCTGCGGGACCACCCTCTCATTGTCGTGAGAAGCCTCCCTTGTCGACCTTCCTCCATAAGTCAACTCTTCCTCACTCCCGTTCTCACTGACACTCTTGATGTGCGACAAAGCCTCAACGTCACCTTTGCTTGCTCTCGCTGAGAAGCCCATGCTCGATCTTCTCTTTCCAGAAGTCGCCTCACTCTGCCTCTTTTGACACTTGAAGGTGCCGCAGCATTTACAAGGAAAGTATGACATGCTGTAGAGATCTTCGTGCCCGGACTGCGGCGGACCGTTGCTGGACTTGGCAAAGGTTGTGGCTGCGAAGGCCGATGGTCGGCGAGTAGCGTCATCGGTAACGCGATGCGGGGATGGGTTTGAGGTCATGCCCAACTTGTAGCCGATGGCTTTGAGAAGGGGTCGAAGCGTTGCGAGACTGCCGGCGGTGATTGCTAGGCCTTGCTCTACGGATGACCAGATAGCGATGTCGAGGGTAGACCCTTTGTTAAAGTTAGTTGATTGTCCCTAGGAAGAGACAACTTGAAACGGTCGACTTACAGAGGAAATCAGCGTCCTTGAGGCCCATAAGATATCCAAAGCGAACCAAGACAGCTGAGCTGGCACTGATAGGATGGTCAGTTTCGTTCACGTTGCCAATAAGGTTTAATTGCACTCACACGCAACCCATGATCAATAACGGGATCAAAGCAAACTTCGTCTTCTTTCGCAGTTGGAGGTTCCAAACCAAAAAGGCTGGGAGAATGGCGAATGTCAAGTCCGATATGACACTGAAGGCACTGTACAAATATGCCAACGCTATAACAATGTTGACATCGATGCAGCTTCCTGGCTGACTCTTGTTCCAGAAGAACGAGATCGGGTGGCACTGAAACAGCGTCACGAAGAAGAAAACAACTCCGGCTAGGACAGTGAACATCATAGCTATGTAAATGATCCAGCTGTGTAGTCTTCGGGTGGTAATTCGCAAGAGAAAGAATCCGATGGACATTTTCGAGACGATCATGCTGAGGGAGTAAAAGAGGTAGCAGAACCACCAGCACTATGAGGTTGTGTTAGTACACTTGTTACCAGTGGAAATCGTATTGTCTTGAGTAGTTGCTAACCTCGAGCGCTTTGGTGATATGGTCATCTTCGATATCCGCGAAATGCCTTCCGGTGCCATAGTGAACACCTAGTATTGAGAAGGTTGAGTAGCATATGAAGAAGGCCTTGAATGGAGTTAGTCATGTCTTCCTGTCTGTATACACAATCATCATGCGAATCGAGTAATGCATACCAGAGCCAAGACCATGAGCCAGTCATCCGTTCCAAAAGCCTTGACCAGGCCAGCCCGGACGTAGCATCGCAATGCAGTGGCCAACACCGCCGCCGAGACGAAGAAGATGTTGACGGCCAGGAGCTCGGGTCCGCGGTTCTCAACCATGGGTGCCATGTTGACTCGTAGATCTCACGTTTCGATATCTACCAGGGGTCCTTTCTTTGGAGCAGGCCCTCCCAGTTCCCACTTGAAGAGATGCAAGGTTTATGGGGATCGTGGGGATGGAGGGGGGAGGCAAGCAAAGGTCGTACGATTCTTTATAATTCCCCATCCTTAAACAAGTATGAAAATGAAAAGAGGGATACGGGCCGCAGAAATCATAAGACACCGTCGTTACCGTGCACCGGGCGCTAACGCCAGGGGTAGATGGGTCCTGTTGTGTCGCGTTTCCATCTTCAGAGCTCAATCCGAAGCCTTCAGTCGATGGCGTCGGGTCGTGCGTCCGGAGAGCTCGGCATGCGCCGTCCGTCCCTCATTGAAGACTCAAAAGAAGGGAAAGTATCTGTCTTGACCCCACCGGAGCTCTCCTAGCTTCAAAGGACATTTGATTTTTGGGGATCATTTGCGATGAGGTAAGGCAACACCAACGAGCAGCCAGCTCCGAGCCTTTGGAAAGCTTTGCCTTGAAGAAAATGTCCAGATCCGGCGACGGACTCGGGACGGCGGCGGGAGGAATGCCTCATCCGCGTTAAGTCAAGCTCTAGAGCGTCTGCCACCAGTCCTTCTTAGGACACGGGCTCCGGTGAACGGACGAGGAAGCTGACCAGTGGAATAACTGTGGCTTGCTTTCTCGAAGGAGCGCTAGAACAGATCTATCACCGTTCCGACACGCCACGTCGGAAATGGTGGCCGTGCAAAACATCTCGCGTACGTCTAGCTTGTCGTCTAGCGGCTTTTTACTTGCTGTTTCGCTACTGCCGATCGAACCAGTGGCTAAGCCTCTGAGGACAATCCTTGAAACAAACTGAGTTGCCCTCTGGCTTGAGTGGCATGAGTAATTCCATTAGGTCAGCGGCAGCAAACCTGACTTTGTTAAAAGGATGGTTTTTGCTGTCGGGATACCTCCGACCCATACCCCCTTGGCGAGGGAGATCGGCCCGGGGATGTGTGCCGGGTTATGACCCGGAAGTGCCGCGATGCAACACAGTCATGGCCTCTCAGGCCCCTCTTTGCACATGTTAATCGAATTCCCAGTCGCATCAAGATACCAAACGACAATATCCGTCACTTGTCAGATTGAAAGTTCGGTAGCTACAACTCTAATGCCATACACGAGGCACTACTGCGAGACACAAAACAGTGTGGCTATGAACAGGAACACGACGGCTTAAATCAACAGCCCAGGGGAACTGAGACAACCTTCACGTCCTTTTCTAGGGCGCCACAAGTGCAAACTTCTCCAGCATTTTAACGCCAGCCTCCTCTTTGACATTAGCAGCTACACACCCTAATTCAGGACGTTGTGAGCATATTTCCCCAGCGATTTTGCTTTCCTGTTCCGGCTTTGATTCAACATGTGAGACATTTACCTCAGACTCCTTATCATTGTTCTTGAAGGAAATCATAGGCTCGAAGGATCAAGTCAAAGGGCTGAATGGTCAATGGCACACTCGCTAGAGCGTCTTGGCTTCCGGCCGGTTCCTCGCTGCGGTATCCTCCCGACATGGGTTCGTCGGCAGATTCTTTGCCGTGCGCACAAGCCAGGAAACAAGACATCCAGACGGCTCTTGGGTGAGAGCTGTGGATCTCCTGCTACCAGGATCCAGGTACACGGATGACGGACGGATGACGGGGCTGGTGATAGTTTGTTTGCAGGATGGGTCTGGAAGGGGTCCGGAAATGACCCCTTATGTGACAGACTGTGCACCGGATTTACATGCACGGTTGAATGGACAATCCAAGCGTTGTCTCCAGCATCTCACGGTTCTCATCCTGTCGCCTTGTTCAATCGGGAAGAGCAGGGACGATGTGGGTGTCCCGTGGAAGCCCAGACAATGTGGAGGAAGGCCTGGTGAACTTTACACCTGCATGCAGCGGGAACTGCTGTTTCTTGGCAGGCTAGCACGCTCTAAGGATCTGCCGTTCCCTACAAACACGTAGCGGGGTTGAAACATTAGGATAGACGTCAATAGACGACAGAACTACCATGGCTACATGCGACAGGGCTATCACTAAGAGCTGTTGAATTGATCAAAGTACGGCCTCTCCGCTTGCGGCGTGATCCTCAACATATGCCGCCTAGTTGTCCCCTCTTCGACCCTGAAGTCTCGCAGCGCAGAGTGCTGAGTGTTCCTGTTGTCGTAGACCACCACCGTGCCCGGCCTCCAATGAACCCGCAAGTGCCAGTCCTGACCTCTTTCGATATGGTCAAACAAGAATCCTAGTAAGGCGGCACTCTCTTCCTGCTTCATACCGACAATTCGTTTTGTGTACAGCCGATTGACGTAGAGAGAAAACTGCTTAGTGACGGGATGGGTTCTCACGACTGGATGGATGGTTTCAATGGGTTCCCGGATGTATCGGTCGCGGTGGTCGTTCACCGAAGCTTGAGAGAAGCCGGAGTGAACAGCCTTCAAGCTGTGAAGTAACGTACGGTAAGTTTCTGAGAGAGCGTAGTAGGCTGCTGTGGTGGAGAGGTAAAGAGTATCCCCTCCAGATGCCGGAGTGCTCAGAGGCAAGAACGTTGTCGTACCCATCCCGTTGCTGTATGCTGTCAGGTTCCAATTCGATGACGTGTGTTCATTGGCAACGGACTTACATCTCATAGCTCATGTCGCTGTGCCACTTCACGCTGGTGACATTGTCTTTGATCTCGTTATCTACAGCACCTGGTCTGCGTTGTCTGTCAATCGTCCATGTCTGCTTTCGTCGTCGCGGTGGACTTACGTGAAGTCGCGGTACACAGGGAGTAGTTCTGGGTAGTCCTTGATCTGACCGCCCATCTGATGGACATGCAGTGAACCGAAATGTCTTCCGTAGGCTTTCTGCTTTTCGGGTCCA